GAATATTAAGTTTTAATAAAAGTTAAGTTCCCGCCATGCCGTGAACAGGTACAATTTATCATCATTTATGAATGTATCACACATTCATACCTGTTAATACACATGAACCCACGCTGAGGCGTTGAATAAAATTTGAATGAATGCGTTGAATTGGAGCCGTGCCTTCAATGTCTTTAACGGACCGTCAAACTCTATCATTTTGCTGCTCTTCTTATGTAGATTTACCATCACAAACTGAATACCGTCTATACTCGTGCTTGAACTCTTATTTTGCTCACTAGCACAACTGCCATACCTGCTCTTGCCCCGTCGCTCTTTTTCGCTCATTAGCGCACCTGTCATCTTTGCGCTCGCCCGCCGCTCTTTTTCTATCCAGTAGCGCCTCGCCGACTCTGCGCCCTGCCCGACGCTCTTTTTCTATCCAGTAGCGCCTCGCCGACTCTGCGCCCTGCCCGACGCTCTTTTTCTATCCAGTAGCGCCTCGCCGACTCTGCGCCCTGCCCGACGCTCTTTTTCTATCCAGTAGCGCCTCGCCGACTCTGCGCCCTGCCCGACGCTCTTTTTCTATCCAGTAGCGCCCCACCGACTCTGCGCCCTGCCCGACGCTCTTTTTCTATCCAGTAGCGCCCCACCGACGCTGCTCGCCCCCGACGCTCTTTTTCTCTCCAGTAGCGTCCGCCGACTCTGCACTCGCCCCGACGCTCTTTTTCTCTCCAGTAGCGCCCCGCCGACTCTGTTTTTTATTGCCCAAAGAGAGCGGGGAATCCCCGGTCTGGGAAAGCGACGCAGCTGCCCGTCAAACCTGGATACGGCATTGAACTTGCAACGATCGCTTGAAGCAATGATGGACTGAACGCCAAGCATGACCTCATAAATCTTTTTTACACACAGACTGTGATTCAAACACCTGCGCGTGATGGATTATTAGCCAACCATAAAGTTTTTAGTCTTTGTGAATATGTTTGGAGTGACTCGAAAATACGTCCGCATATTTATAATTTTTCCAAAAATAAAGGCATACTTTGTATTTTTCCAAGTTATCGATAAAACAACTATCGATTCCACTCTGTATTATTTGCATACGATCACGAGAGTAACGATATCGAATAGTGTCGAGAAGAGGACTAGATTTTATTTATCTTGTCATAATCAAACAAAGCTTATTGAGATCAAACATTTAATTACAACTAAAAGAATTGCCTAACAGAGCAGCAACAAATTCCTGTGACATCCTTGAGTTTTCGCACTTTTTATCTCGATCTTTTCAACATTCTCGTTAATTCTTATGGTGCTTATAATTTCATGGTACCTACTTATAAATGTCTGCTTAAAAATTCATTCTTATTTATAAGCATTTAACAGCATGAAGGACGAACTTCATACATATGCATTGTTCCTTTCATTCATGTCCGTAGAAACATAATTTTACTCAATCCTTGCTTTATTTCTATGTTTATATCAGGTTTCCTTCTATTTTCTCTTGGCCTTTGTAAATGTCATGTATCAAGTTTATGCTAGATTTCCTTAATTTTCCTCCAGCTTCTAGTCTGCAATCGCTTATGAACTTCAAAGAACACGAAAGCAATAATAAAAAATTCACGCAAAAATTGTTTGGTTGGAAAATGCACGAGGGAATATCAGAAATGAAAGAAAAAATGAATTATGAACTGAAAAGGATAATAAATATATTTGTGTAATTTTTATTATTATCAGTATTTTTATTATCAGTGTATCATTTTATCAGTATTTAAAAAATCATCAAAATGATGTAATTCAGCGTTCAATGCTATTTCTTTCTTAAGGCAAGTTTAATCGATTAGATCAATCGATTTAATTAATAAAGAAAAAGACCAATGAATAATAATATTCGTTCATAATAAATAAATAATAATAATAAAAGTGAGTGGGGGAATAAACACGATGATCGTTAATTACAAACGTTTAATTACTTCAATAATCATTAAATTTCAATAATCATTAAATAATACTTCAATAATCATTAAATTTAAATTATTGGTGTATTTTGATTATAATAATTGTGTAAATAATTATTGAATAATTATACATCCATTTATAGACTGTATTTAGTTGTTTTTTCGTTTATAGGGACCCCGACTTTGGTTTAAGGTATTAACTCTTGGTGCTGCTTGGAAAGTACTGAGTCATTGTGTTGTTACCGTCAATTTTTAGACATTGAATAGTGAAAATCATAATAAAAATAGTTAGCTACTATCATTCACCGTTTACACTCTAGGAAACAACTTAAAAATAAGTCAGTACATGATGGAGCGACGTACCCTACTTGTATGCATACCAGAACACATGACTGGCATTATTTTGATCTTCCGATGTTAGTTTTGAAAAAAAGTTAAAGAAAGTAATCAATAGCAAATTTATTACACAGTAATAGCCAGCGTAAATAGTTCTAATCGAGTGTATTACAATCGAAATAAGATGAATATTTCTAAAATAAACAATAAAAGGTTATCTTGCAAAAACCCTATTTCTCAGCATCCACGCCCTTCCTGAGGAACGTTGAAGTCCTGGGGCCATACTTTCGAAACTCGCTAAGTGAACGTAAATACTTACGCTCTATTTTCTTGTCTATGATTGGTGGATTTGGCTTGAATGGCCGTCAATGATTGGCTGATGAACTTACGATATTTTAACTTTTTTTTAAAGTATAGGCCATGAACATCAAAATACAACGTAACGATTTCTTATAGAGAGAAGACCGCCGTTCAAGTCATGTCCCGATCATGACTATCATCAGAGCTGGGCAGCGCTACTTTGAAATGTAGCGGTCGCTACCGCTACATGCTCTAAATGTAGCGGGCGCTACCGCTACCGCTACATGTAGCGCACTACTGCCCACCTCTGACTACCATCACATTCCCAGTCATGGCTGCATGTCGCATGCGCTCCACGCGAGCCTGCCTGACGTCCGGACCAATTGTTTCGCTCAGACCGTAAAAAAGAACAAAATTATAGGCTTTGCACATGTGGGAGTGGCTTGTGTGACAGAAGTCTTGCTCAGTTTTGCACGTATGCCTTCTTATAGACAGAGCCGCATTCTCTGGATATCAACAAACTCTTTAAATTAAAAGAACCAGATATTCTGTCATCTAATTCTAATAGGCGTAATTGTACGTAGTTTAATATAAAGGTTGTATCGTTTCATCAAGTGCTCAGGCGTCGAATTTACTTTATTTTGAAATTTCTTGTGCTAAAATATGAGATACAATTCATGAAAAATATTTCAAGTAAATTAACTTGATTTATTATGCGTTTGATATTGAAAATTAAATTAACATCATGCAGTCTGTCAGTCTGTTCTTAGCTACGGAAAATGGAATCATTTCACGATGTTCCATATTTTGTCACATATTTTTTTATTGCCTTCGAAAAAAAGTGAATGCACGGACATACAGGTGGAATAAAAAAGAAAAGAAATTTGTTTTATGTGTGACAGAGGTGTGAAGGAAGCCTTATAACACCTGATGATGAAGTGCGAATTGTATGAGTGAAATTAATAGAAGTGGTGAGAATTATACTGGATGAAAGGGGTAAATTTGATGGCGTGATGTGATAAAAGGGGTGAATGTGATGGCGCAGAGGTAAGTGCTGTCATCAAAATGTGGAAAGTGTGAGTGCATGGGGAAAAGTTGAGGGAAGGTTGGTATGAATGGATGCTGCTGGAAGGGTGTATGTAAAGGAACCAGCAATAATAAGAAACAATGACAATATTAAAAAATATAATTCAGTATACTCATTGCAGTGAGTGACAGAGAGCGCATTTTCTCGTCGACGAAAACGTGAAGCCGCGGACGAACAGACAGACGGACGGACATGACGAGCACAATATTGCAGTTTTTCCGTAAATGAGAAATGCAAAATGCGCTAAAAATTATGTACTGAGATTTCCCAATATCTTATACCAAGTTCAAAAGCTACAGCGCAGTAAATGGGACACAGCAACGTTAGACAAAATAATTTCTTTCATGAACTTTAGTTTCAGTTTATTTTCGCGAACTTTCCCACCTCTTTAGCCTCTGCCATGGTCTACTAACGCTCTTACCTGACCTTGCTTCCCTCTCCCCATAAAAACATAATGCAATGCGTAACAGCTTAACAGGTTGCAGTTAGCCGATATAAAGGAAATTCAGAACCTTGCCTATATATTTTGTTCTCTATTCTCGTGGTCGAAAAATTCTGCCAGACAAATGTTTGATTGTGGAATAATTATCTCACGTTTAATTATGCTGCACCATTGTTATGAGCGCCGAAATGCTTAGAGGAAAGTCAACTCATTCTGAGAATAATGAGAGAATTCATCATTGGGACCATTCGTTGACCCCGATTGAAAGAGATTTTTTCTATCTCAACCTTTTTCACGAGTCCTCACTCCGAATATCTTGTTTTCGTGCACAATCAGATAATGCACATTTTTTATTCATTTATTACAGATAGCTGGCGACAGTGATAGATACCCGGCTGGAATCAGAGAATGATAATTGAAAAATTAAACTTAGCCCTGAGCAAGACCGCACTTTTGTCAGCTCACACCGTAAGAAAATACGATGGAACGAGGTTGAACCTAATCGATTGAGTTACCGGATCGACACTTCAGCGAACTCGCCTGCGAACTGGCCTGCGCACTCGAACGCAAAACCTAACTTGAAAAGTTCTATTTTTTACCATCGTGATTCAGAAATTTGTTCTGAATCGCATGAAGAGCTACTGGTGGTATACTAACTACGAAAACGAAATGGAAACTGAAATCAGTTAGGGGCTTACAAAGGGCTTACAAAGAAATTTTGGGAGACTAAATGTATTACTTTTATGTATGACTTTAAATGTATGACTTTACTTTTTATTTGTTTGCATAATTATTAACTTATGCAAACAAATGATATCCTTCAAACGCACCAAGATTGATATTGGTTTCGTTGGGAACGCTGAAGGTCACCGTCGCAAACGCGTTTCAGTCCGGTATCAACGTCGTTTGGAGAAGAGTCTCTTATTTGGCGCTGCGTCTGTAACCTACCTATATGTTATCACTTAGTGGCTAGTGCTTAGGTTACTCTTTGGTCATTAAAGTTGCGTTAATAATCGTCTTTCATTTATTTCATCATGTCTGTGAGAGTTGAAACTGCCTCTGGGAAAATCCGAAGTGATGCATCCCACAATGGAATAATACAGCCTCTGTTGACTGGTGAGGAAATTTATTATTTTCGCTCTTGGATTCGTTACTCGTTAGTAAAGTAGGTAGGTAGATAACTGAAGTTGAAGTGCAGAAAATTTTATGAAATGATAGATTTCCTTGATTTACTACGTTTTCCACACATTACAGTTTGTGACACCTTTTAACGGTCAACTAGGTATAAAAATCTTTAGAACAGTGAATAGTGTCAAAGCAGAAAATTTTCGACTCATCCTAAAGTTATTTTTGAGTCCCATAACTTATAAGTAGCTATACCACTAATACCAGTAAATTAATAAGCAGTAATCATTGATAGCCTACAACACAGTGTGAGTAGTGGCAAAGCAGAGAGTTTTTTTAGACTCTCCCTCAAGTTCATTTTTGAGTCCTATAAGTAGACCAGTAGGAGTATCCTGGATACCAGATTACCAGCATTATAATAATACTTAAGAAATTTGTTTAAATCTTGAGTAAATGAGGACATTAAAAATGAACTGATTCTAAAAAAGCTCTGGTTTGCCACTATGCATATGGGATACTGTCAAAGTGTCAATTCTGACTAATCATCTAAATGATCTAATCACTAATGACAATGCATAATCCAAAACAGGATAAATTTTTTTTTGCTGAGAGCCTAAGCTCCAAAGAAATGAGTTTTTACAATAATTGAAAACTTTTGGCTCAGTAATAGCATCAGTTTAGTTAGCCTATGTTGTTTTATTACAAACTTTTACTGCTGTCAGTAAACGCATGAGTCACCACTGTCAATTTCAATGATCCTCTTGTTAGATAGGTAGGCTACTGGTACTGCACTGTCTGCACTTAGATTACTGTTTTTCTTTAAAATCATATACTAATACTGGTCACAGTAGCCAGATCTACAATTTGAACTTTTGAAGGCTAACTCAGTAACTGGAAGCCCAACTTCCTAAGACAGTACCTATGGCTGAAGAGTAAAGCAGCTGTGAATTGGATGAAATTGAAAGCAGCTGTGATTCTGGGCAATTTCACCCATTCTTATGGACTTTTTCCAATTTGGTTGTTGATAAGTGAGAAAATTGGCCTATTTCTATCTGGAATTTTTATAAATCACCTTTGAAAGTTGAAGCAATAATTTTTACCTGAATTTTTTGGATAATAATGCTTGTGAGGCTGTGGCTGATATTCTAAATAGGATTTGAAGGGTTTCATTACCACTTAATAATTAGTAAGCTCTCTCTCAAGTTTAAATTTTACCTGAAAATTGCCGTTCAGTTTTTTGATAAAATAGATGATTTCTACCGGAGGCCTGCAACACTAGTGAGGAAAACATCTGCTCTCAACTGCAACTGGATTTTTTTTGAGCCATGATTTAATGGATTTACTGGCCCTGATTCAATTTTTCTGAGTCGTGAATACCATATCCAGGCCAATAAGGCAATGAAAAGCCATTTATGAGTTGCAAAGTCTCGTGCACATGTTAGCACAAATTTCTAATTTTGCCCTAAAAACAACAGCAAGAATATTGGTCTTTTGGCAACTGAACATGTGATAATGGACTGTTTACATTTTTGTTGATGAATGAAGACAGTAAAAAGGCAATCTGATATAAATGCAACTACTTGATCACCAATGAACAGTTTTGAGTTTACTCATTATGCAGGATGTTTTAGTGGGAGTGTGTTACTGAACTGCTAAAGAAAATTTTGTGGAATGATATGTTTGTGAACCACAATTTCTTTAATCAAATGAAAATACATAACATTAGAGCCACAAGATTTCATACCTACTGAAATGATATTAAAGACACAATATTTTGGAAAAAGTAGGAATTTTCTCAACTAGCTGCTGTAGGTATATGTTATGGCAACTTATGTAGCATTGACATCAGAAATTTAGCCTAGCGCTAAGTGCTCCCGTGTCAGACAACTTGTCTGTAATATTGGGCAGAATTTTCCTAAAATTATGGATACAAACTATTGTTTTACTGCCAACTTACAAAAATTGAATGATAAAATTAGCCATTTGTTTTAGTTTTTTTTAAAGAAATTAAGCAAGAGCCATGAAAACTGATAAAATTGACTTCAACTACAAACATTTTTGTCTCATTCATGAGTGAATTCTGGCTCAGTTTTCCAGAATGGTCACATAATCCTTGCAACTTGAGAATCCTTTTATTTATTACAAAATCCCAAATTAGATTGTTTCCAGTCCCTTTAACAACCTTGAAACTAAAGTAGTACTGAAAATGACTATACAACCTGTTAGGTGGATAGCTAGAGGTCTGCCTAGCCCAAGTCCACAGTGCGATTCATATACCTTCCCGAGCATAACGCAGCCGGGCATCTTCATGGCTTTTGACACATAGCGCCCACCACAGCAGCGCCGTTCAGTCACAGGCACTGGTTCACAGCGCCGGAGCACAACTGGCCGAAGCGCAACAGGCTCTACCGCAACAGCTACTCCTAACGTAACCTAACCCAACCTAACCTGCGCCGCCTATTGTGGTAGGGCCTGTTGCGCTCTGGCCAGTTGTGCTCCGATGCTGTGAAGCAGTGGCTGTTGTGCAAAGCGAATTTAGTGTTAGCTGGAGTTACCCACAGCTCATTGATCTGAGGCTACATGTAGATATTGCATGCTGATGGTTGGTGTTGGGCCCAGGGCCTGTTTACGAGTCAATTTTGTTACCCACGGCTGCGCTCCCCAACCTGTCAAACCCCCACATCTGTCACACTGACACATTTTAATTTTCAAAAGGGTTCCACCAACCTGCTCAGTGTGGTTTGGCTTGTTTTTTTTTTCAAAAAGGCTACTATTTTACTTTTGGGCTGGCCTGGTGATCATGTTACTAGGCTTCTGTCTCAGAATTATTTTTGTTTTGAATAATTAGTATAGCAACTATTGATGAGCTTGGTCATATTTACTGATTATATTAGTATATATTATTATCATGACTTGTACTAATTACAAGGCACGTTTTTTAAGTCAGTACAGTTTTGGAATTAAAAATATATAACTCAGTACTCACTGCAGTGAGTGATGAGCGCGCATTTTCTCATCAACAAAAACATGAAGTCAGGGACGGATGGACGAACAGACGGACATGGCGAGCACAATAGTGCATTTTTTCCATAAATGAAAAAATGCGCTAAAAAGATGCACAAAGATGTTGCAATAATTTTATTATTACATGAAAGCCTGCACCTTAATCCACTTTTCTACATAATTTCTGTGAATATTGAGGCACTTGTCATAACGTGGCACCAGTTTTTGAATACCTTCCTGATGAAAATTCTGCCACCTGACTTGTTAACCACTGCATCACAAATATTTAGACTCTGTTATCATCTTGAAGACACCGACTGCCCAGGTGTTTCTTCAAGTACAGTGTGATGCAATGGATGGATGCATCACACTGCACTTGATGCATCAAATACATCACACTGCACTCTTCATTTTTGATGCAGTGGTTAACAAGTCAGGCGGCAGAATTTTATCAGGAGGGTATTCAAAAACTGGTGCCACGTTATGACAAGTGCCTCAATATTCATGGAAATTATGGTGCAAAATAGATTAAGGTACAAGCTTTCATGTAAAAATAAAATTATTGTAAATTGCAATATCTTGGTGCGTCGTTTTTTAATTCCAAAACAGTACTGACTGACTTACGAAACATGCCTCACATATTAGTATAAGTCATACTAATTAGTCAAGAGCTTATTAGACTAATTTTATTTTTACTAGACATTTACTCTGTTTCCAACATAGCTCTGTTCTGACATTAAATGAACATAACTGCATCATGCACATGAAAAATCAGGTATTCACGTATTTGTATCATGAAAAATCATGTATTTGTATTATTATTGCTCCGTGATTTAGCGAGTGAAGAAAGCTGTGCTTCACCGACTGCTGTAGAAAGTAGAGCTGTACTAAAAATTTGTGTTTCATTTGAGTCTAGCCCATTTGGCATCTGCCTTAATTTCTCATGCATTAAAAAAATTTATTTTGGTCATAATTTAGTCCATTTTATTAGCGATCTTTTTCTTTGTTATCAATTGGTAATTTGCATTCTAATGATCTTTAAGCATGGAATAAAAATCATTATCTATTCTCAATTATTATTAATTAAAAATAAATAACAGATGAAACAAGAAATTATCTGTCGTGAAGGACAAGTATTCGACCTTGGTTTATGTCCGTCGCAATCCAGTTACAAGAGAAGCTTTTGTACAAAATTGACCCACAAGGTTTCTCTGAGAAATAAACTTCAACAAAATCAAACCATGAGGATGCCATGTGGTATGAACTTGAACAAAATCAAACCATGAGGTTGCCATGTGATATGAACTTGAACAAAATCAAACCAAAAGGTTGCCATGTGATATCAAGTTGAACAAAATCAACCCGCTAGGCTGCAATGCATGCAGCATGAACTGCGGTCGGTCGTCATGGCAGCGTCGTTGTTTCGAGTCCTCAAAGCCACCATGGCAACGCCAGCACGACGGCTATTCTTGTGAACGAAACGTCGGCCTCTGAAGAGAGGCGAGGAAATATAGAGGTTGAAGGGACGCCGTGACCTCTAAACCGGCTGTGTCAGGGACTCACTTTATTGACCCTGAAATTAGCTCTCGGTGACGGAAAACGCGAATAAATACGAAATTATTAGTAAACTTTGAACACTAAAGTCTTCGTCTCGATATTTGCGGTAATGATGTTTTTTAATTAAATGTCTTTATTGGAAAATGAAGCGTTAACCCCTAGCTGAGGTCTCCATCTCACTTGTTTGTAACATAAATGGTAATAAACCTTAATAGAGATCATAATTGACGCGATCAGAGGAAAACTATTAAGTAGTGACAATTTTTTTATAAACATGCGTTCGTTTAATGTTTACGTACAATGTCTAAAAGTTTGCATGAAACTAAAATGCACATCTAATCGTCATAACTTCCAAGAATAATAGTTAGAGATTTTACTTTTGGACTAAAAATATACACCAGCACTAATCATTCCGCATAGTCCAGAAACCAGACTGCGGTGGCATTCTTTTCACAAATCGCGTATAGCGACTCTTCAAATATCGCTTATAGTATTTAGAATTAGAACGATATACCAACGCAATGAAACGGATAAACTTCGTCCTTTGTATGCAGTGAATCGTTTTTCCGTTCAACTTCTAATGACGGATATACAGTTGCATAGCTACCGTTTATTAGACACCTACGTCTCGCAATAATTTTCTTGAAATGATCCGGGACTACCGGGATGAAACGAGAAATTACTGGGAAAACAATAACGGGATCGAAGATAAATTTGTTCCGGAACAAACGTATGAACCGGGACAAGACTTGTGTCCCGGAATTTAAAACTTGTGTACCGGTAATTATGAAACGATACGAGACAGATACAAAACGAGACTAGATTTGTCTTAAATATCCAAGGCAGAACAAGATATTCCTTACTATAAGAAAACGAAACATTCCGAACGCGTGGCTAAGGAATACAAAGTTAGCGAAGGTTAGCGAACGCAGTTAATGAGCAGTTGCCATGCCAGGCATGGGCAGATTCGGCGACATTTGGCTGCCAAACTTATTTAGCAAATAAATTAGTGAGAAGATTTGGCGATGTATAGCTGAATATTAAGTGGATGATGTTGAGCCTTTAATCGCGCATGACGAGAACCATACGTGTTCAGTAACCTTAATGGCATCATCGCTAGTCGGTGACGCTGTGTCGATCGGTTAGCCGCGCAGTAGAATGTTGAAGGGCTTTCTCAAGCCCTGCAAGATTCCACGAATCAGGATTGGTAACTGGAAATATTTTGAGGAGCAATTGCTCCTCAAAATATTTACAATTTTTGGTTTAAAATGAAATGGCCGAGAGGTGAAACGAACAAGGTGAGAGAGCATAAGGTGGTGCGTTCTCTACTTGGTTTGGACAAATTGCTGTCATCTGCGGTTGCCTACAGGTGGTGATGGCAGAAGAGACTTTCTTAATCCTTCGCTTTAATTAAACTTTGGCTTTGGTTAATCGACGTCAAAACTTACGACTTATTCGTCTACTATTCTCATGTAAATCTCGACTTCTAAAATTCAATGCTGCCGCATTTTTAATTGCAGATGTTCCCAAGTTCGTCTAATGTCATATCAGACTCTATTTTAGCCGACATTATGTTTCTCCAGCCTAAGAAATACCCAGCGTCGGTAAGAAAAAGGTTTCTACGGATGCCTGATGTCTTATCATCAGTAAACTTGTAGATATCGCCACAAAGTTTGCACCGACAATTGGTCTGGGGCAATACTTTCAAAAACTCGCTAAGTGAACGTAAGTACTTATAACGCTCTATTTTCTTGTCTATGATTGGTGGATTTTGCTTGAAGGGCCGTCAATGATTGAACTCACGATCAGTGAACTCACTATCTCTTAACTTTTTTTTAAGTATAGACCCTGGTTTTTATTCCGGTCATTATGACGATTAAATTTTGACGTCTATTAACCAAAGCCCAAGTAAGCAATGAAACAGGTTTTTTTCCTGAACAAGGCACTAGCCTAGTATGTAACTGGTGACGATAAGTGATTACCGTAATTTAAATCGAAAAACAAGCAACGCAAAAGTTTGCGTCGATTCCTGGTACTGCTGAGTCTGGCCAATAATTAGATACTATGTTTTAAATTTCATGTAGATCCGTTCAGAACTGAGGGACTTGTGAGCTTTTCAGTTGCGCCATTTTTTTTTTGTTTTGTTCTAATCGAAAATCGGTAATAACTACCAGGCATGGGCAGATTCGGCGACATTTGGCTGCTAAACTTATTTGGCAAATAAATTAGTGAACAGATTTGGCGATGTATAGCTGAATATTAAGTGAATGATGTTGAGCCTTTGATCGTGCATGACGAGAACCATACGTGTTCGGTGCGCTTAATGGCATCATCGCGAGTCGGTGACGCTGTGTCGATCGGTTAGCCGCGTAGTAGAATACCGAAGTGCTTTCTCAAGCCATGTAAGATGCCACGAATCGAAATTGGTTAGTGGAAATATTTTGAGGAGCAATTGCTCCTCAAAATATTTACAATTTTGGGTTTAAAATGAAATGACCGAGAGGTGAAACGAACAAGTTGAGAGAGCATAAGGTGGTGCGTTCTCTACTTGGTTGGGACTAATTACTCTCATCTGCGGTAGCCTGCAGGTGGTGATGGCAGAAGAGACTTTCTTCAATCCTTCGCTTTAATTAAACTTTGGTTTTGGTTAATCGACGTCAAAACTTACGACGTATTCGTCTACTACTCTCATGTAAATCTCGACTTCTAAAATTCAATGCTGCCGCATCTTAATTACAGATGTTCTCAAGTTCGTCTAATGTCATATCAGACTATTTTAGCCGACATTATGTTTATCCAGCCTATAAGAAATACCCAGCGTCGGTAAGAAAAAGGTTTCTACGGACGCCTGATGTGTTATCATCAGTAAACTTGTAAATATCGCGATAAAATTTGCACCGACTATTGACCTGTTTTTTATCCCGGCCATCAGGACGATTAAGTTTTTACATCGATTAACCAAAGCCAAAGTTTAATTAAAGCGAAGGATTGAAAAATTTCTCATGCCATCACCACCTGTAGGCTACCGCAGATGACAGTAATTAGTCCAAACCAAGTAGAGAACGCACCACCTTATGTTCTCTCAACTTGTTCGTTTGGCCTCTCGGTCATTTCATTTTAAACCAAAAATTCTCAAAAAAAAAAAGAATAATTGTTTCCCTGGCAAATGTCTGGTATAAACTTTTTGGCGGGAAGTAGGCTCACAACGGGCAGCTATACTGGCCGCTACTCGTTTTTAAGCAATGAAACGCTTTTCCCCTGAACAAGGCACTAGCCTACAGCCTAGTCACTAGTGACGATAAGTGATGACTATAATTTAAATCGAAAACCAAGCAATGCAAAAGTTTGCGTCGATTCCTACCGCAGAGTCTGACCATTAATTAGATATGTTTTGAATTTCATGTAGATCTGTTCAAAACTGAGGGACTTGGGAGCTTTTCAGTTGCGCATTTTTTTCTAATCGAAAATCGGTAATAACTTCTTCCGCTGCGCATTTCTACCAATTATTTATTTATTTCTATTATATTGATTTATTTTATATTTTATCTATACTATATTTATTTATTTCAATTTCACCCTGGCTCTTCAAATTTGCTAGATGGGGAATAGCGATGTCATTCTACTTAGTGATGTTCTTGAAACGTTGTTAACAGACAGAATGTTGATCAGATTATGTCTGAAATAATTCATTATTCTAATAACATATTCATAAATAACTAATATGGCTCGTTATAGAAGATGAAAATTCCATGAAATTTGAAAACTCCTATTTTGACCGGGGGACATCTCGTCTCGGTATTGCCCCGGAATTAACGCGGAGTGTTGAAAATTGTGCCAATTTTCATTGCTAGCCGGAACAAATCTTGTCTCCAATGGAAAAAAGCACCAAACTGTTAGTCTTCAGCTTATCCTGAGCATGTTTATAACCGCGACAGTTCTAAGCATGCAATTATCCCTCGCTATGTATCGCTCTTGACCTAGTGAGGCTCCACTTTATTGCAGGCTTAGATTAGAAAAATCGTTTGCGGATTTTCGCTGGGTCGCAGTTTACGATAAGTTACCAAAAAAAATACGATATAAATACTTGTATAAGCATTATTAGTCGATTCTGGAACATAAAACCTGCGATACGCGAGTGATTAACTGTATTACAAAGATGGAGAATACACTATAACTTCAAATTAGTTTCGTTCTACGTTTTATTGTGGTTCCGGAACTTGAAATATTCGTATTAATGGAGCACCATTCCCCGCAGACATGCACCAGATCAACATGGCGTGTACCTTATTATTGCTGAAGTATCATTTGCCGCAGACATGTACCAGATCTGTCTCTTATACACATCTAGATGTGTATAAGAGACAGGCNGGCGTATGCGTATTGGAAGTCTGGCAAGCTCGGAGACGTGGCGGTGTTCGATCTTTTCTTCCGCAAAGCTCCTTTCGGTGGCGAATTCACGATCTTCGCTGGCCTCGACGAATGCATCACATTTCTTAAGAATTTTAGGTACACCGCCTCAGGTTAGTTAAACCTATAAGCTAACGAAATTCATCTCTCAAATTACTAGTAAATAATTAAATTTTCTATATGCTTTTTTGTGAATGATCCATCAACTATATTAGATTGTCCAAATGTTATGGCATAAAATAGCTTTACACGCATGTTTTTGGGCGCAGTGAGATTAATTCTCAATTCGTATTGAATTTTATAGAATCGGAAGTATTGTTTTTATGTTTTCAGAATTGCTTAGTCTTCAACTTAGTTCAGCAATTTATCTTTTATGGATCTAGGTAAATTTAGGCGTTGAGCGAATTGAAAGCTGAGCTGTTGTCAGTCTTGTTCTGTCCTGATAAAAAGGATGAGTTGACAGCTTCTTGGAAATTTGTTAAGATATAGGTGCGGTGAATATCTCTGGACAAGATAAGATATTTACGAGCCCAGATGATGATTTTCAAATGCTATTAGAAGTACGTTAATATTAGTATTTGGTTTCCCATGAAAGGTAATCGAAGTGAATATTCTTGTTAGAAAGTTATTCTTCTTTGTAATTTGTATGAAGTGACAAAATTTGAATAATATCTCAGGCTGAAGCAGTCGATACGCGTTTCTCGTGGTCAATGGTTTATTGAATTTCAGCGCAAGTGTAAATAGAAGAAGTTTAAGAAAACTGAGAAACTTTATTTGACGCCAAACAAAGTTGGTGAACAGCGGTCAGTTAAAGAACAGATAACCGTAGTAGTGATTCGCACTGCAGGGAAAATTTGCTGTTATCAGTAAAACTGCATAAATCAGGGAGTAAATATGACAATATTTAATTCAAAGGAATAAGCCACTGTAATGCAAGTTATACACGTCTCTCTCTATCCTCACCGTTAAATTGCACGCTACAGAATAAATAATGTAGTGGCAGGTAACAAATGAAGAAGCGAGCTGATAGATTTGCTGGTCAAGTTGCACGTTACGGAGATTGGGTGGGTTCTTATCTGGATAAAGTAGATAAGAAGTTAGAACCTATCTTCGAAATCAATTTAAGATGTAACACAGTTTGTTTCGGTAAGAAGAGCAAATACATTACGAATAACAATTGCAAAATGATCTAATTTACTAACCTATTTGTATCTGTTGATGAACCCTTGACATTAGTTCTCGTGTAGCGAACTAAAAGAAAGATAATAGAGATAACAGTATAAGGAATGTTCGCTCGTACTTAAAAGCAAGTTAAGTTGAGTTAAGTGCATGCAAGTTAATTCACAGCACTAAGGCAAGTGATCAAAATAGGTTTTTAACTCAGAAGCTCATTGGAGCAAACAACCCTATATATACAGGGTTCAACTTCTGACGTCAAGCCAGTAAAGCAAGATCTCAAACTAGCCAACACAGAATCTCAAACATACATTTACCTGGAACAAAACAAAATAAAGCTCACTCGCACAAACTCAAATTAAGCGAAAGAACAGCAAGATTTAACACGACCACTAATTCGGCTTGAGCAGGATTTTTTCACCGAGGTAAGTTTCAGGTAAAAATAATTACGATCGATCTAATGAGCGTCGACTTCGCCTCGCAACACGAGGCTTACGATAAGTGTATAAAATGACGTGCTTAATTAATAAATATTAATAGGTTCGAGAATATTCCATGATGAAACTCGCGATTTTTGCCATTGCGCAGACGTGTCAAACCTGCGCGACATCACACGAATATACTAGTGACGTAATTGGATAATAAATTTTAACAGGTTTGAGAATAATTCCATGATGAACCACCACGATTGTCATTGCGCAGATGTGTCATACCTGCGCGACATCACACGAATATACTAATGACGTAATTGGATAATAAATTTTAACAGGTTTGAGAATAATTCCATGATGAACCATCACGATTGTCATTGCGCAGACGTGTCATACCTGCGCGACGTGATGCCGGCGACGGTAGAGGACGAGTTCTTCGCGTGTCTGGCGCAGCTCACGGCCAAGGACGTCATCGTCAGCGCCGTCGACGAGGGCAACGTCGTATTCCCTCGGTCACTGCCTGCCACTTTTGTCCTCTTCCCTGCCTTTAATTGTCTGTTCCACGAATAATTTATCTTGTTACTGAGGTCTACTGTTCAACTAAAATATTTCCTCTAGCAGCTAATGCCGACGAGGACAACGTCGTATTCCCTCGGTCACTGCCTGCCACTTTTGCCCTCTTCCCTGCCTTTAATTTTCTGTTCCACGAATAATTTATCTTGTTAATGAAGTCTACAGTTCAATAAAATATTTCCTCCATCAGCTAATGCCGACGAGGGCAACGTCATCTTCCCTCGGTCACTGCCTGCCACTTTTGTCTTCTTCCCCGCATTTAATTTTTCTGTTCCACGAATAATTTATTTTGTTACCGAGGTCTAAAGTTCAATAAAATATTTCCTCTAGCAGATAATTTCGGGCATCTAATTCTCACGTTAATTTCTCAGCGTTATTATCTTTAGTTTGTGTCCAAGCTTTTAGTGCTTCAACATTTTTCGTTGCCTTAGCTAGGCATCAGTCCATTTCTTGGTCTTTACTTCTTTCGTTTATTTCCGGCGTTTAACTCGCAGTTTTTAGTGATTTTATTGGGGATAAATGTTAGAGTTTATTCGTTATTCATTTTGTCCATATTAATATTCATTAATAGGAATTAGGAATTAACCCCATTAAGTTAATTAGTGTTGTGCAAAGTAGAGCTTCGAGTTTGAGGCGGCAGCCAATTCCATGAAGTTCGACTGCTTTATTAAATTCAATTACCGGTATATGCTTGTGATATGAACATGTTACATTTTAATATAGTCAACCATGATGAGTAATGAATTGCATGATCCTGACGATTTAGACATGAACAATTGACTTTTAATATTTTAGTCAATCATAATAAATTGCATGAACCTGACGATGGATGCCGTTTTGCAGGGTGCCGCTCATGACGCTGAAAGGCCCCCTAATCGTCATCCAGCTGCTGGAAACAACTCTACTGAATTTAGTGAACTACGCCAGGTGAGTGAGACGTGTTCCGCCATCGTCATCCTGCTTCTTGTAACGAACGTTCTTAATAGAATAATTTATGTTCGCGTTGTGAGTTATTATTGTTTATGTGCAGCCTGGTGGCTACGAACGCTGCCCGGTACCGCATGGCTGCGGGGCCCAAACTGCAGCTGCTCGAGTTCGGGCTGCGGCGCGCCCAGGGGCCCGATGGTGGCCTCTCCGCGTCCAAGTACTCCTACATCGGTGCGTGTTACTGCCATGCAATTTTTTGCTTTTTTGCATACCGTGTTCTGACGTGGTCAATTAAAGCCATCTATTTTCGTCTTTAATTCGCTTAATTAACTTCTAATTTGAGACTATTTTAATTAAAAAGGTTGACTCTTCATCCCACTAGCATATTTCGTATAGATTCGACGAAATTGACTAGCCAGTTGGTTATTCTTCTTGCTTTTTAGCTCATTCTCTCATTTATGGAAAAATGCACCATTGTGCTCGCCATGTCCGTCCGTCCGTCTGTCCGTGACCTCAAGTTTTCATCGACTAGAAAATGCGCTCTCTGTCACTCACTGCAGTGAGTACTGAGTTATATTTTTTTCTCTAATATCGATTTATTCTTCAGCAAGAAGCGACGGAAGGTGGTGGCACAAAATTGGTGGTGCACCAACAAGCCCTGAATCGAACGGATGGATAGCTAGAGGTCAGCATGCCCAAGTCCACAGTGCGATTCATATATGTCAGGTGTCTGCTTCTGCGACCACCTGATGGATTGGTACTGAGGGTCTGGGTACTTATTGTTCCAAGTGTGACTAAGGCAGGACAAGTGAAACACGATTAACGCTAGAACTATTATAATAATAAACTGGCAAGGTGTAGGATACCAGGGAACTGCCTGCAGTAGCCCGAACGCAGCTGGGCCAGGGGTGGGGCGAGGGAGCCGGTCCTCTGTAGCGACGGGAGGAGTTAGGGCGGCCAAGACCCTTTTGATACCAGCTGTCTCGGTGACGTATGTGAGTTATTATTACATCTCTAAACGGAGAGTCCGCTTCGCCTTGTATGAGCCTTCGGGCATTATGCCATCCCTTAGGAAGGGGACGACAAGGTAACAGTATCTGGACCGAAGGGTAGCTTCCATTGGGCGGTCTCCAAGAGAAGATGGGAAAAGGGGGGTGAGATTGCCGCAAGACACTGGTCAGGAACTGCGCACCGGTGAGGTCCAAGAGGGCATTTATGGGGGAGAACACATGTCTCGATGTGGAAATGTTTAATGGGTCTCATCTTTAGGCAACCCGTGGCTATCCTTAAGGCCGAGTCCTGTACTGTCTGTAGGCTCACCACGTCAGAACGGGAGGCTCTTACCAAGTTGGTGTTATAACATGTTTTTTGCTCAGAATTTGCGCTCTGTTTAGCTCGTTAATCCATTTGATTTTGTCAAGTAATTGGTATAACTTGTTTATGTTTTGGTTTTTCATTCAGACTATTTGAACCCCGTTAAAAACTTTGAATGTTACAGAATTATAGGAAAAGCTCATAATTTGTTCATGACAGGTCCGGTATCGTGAACTTCTGTGGGGTGGCACTGGCCCTACACGAGCTTGGCTATCGGCCGGTGGGCGTCAGGATAGATTCTGGAGACCTCGCCTACCTCAGCACTACGGCTAGAGCGCTCTTTGCTAGAGTTGCTAAAGAGTTGGTATCATTTCTGTGTAGATCATGTTCTGTGTAAATTGTGTTGTGTCTAAATTATGTTGTGTCTAAATCATGTCGTGTGTAAATTGATTTCTGTTTAAATTGTGTTGNCTAAATCGTGTTGTGTCTAAATCATGTTGTGTCTAAATCGTGTTGTGTCTAAATCGTGTTGTGTCTAAATCGTGTTGTGTCTAAATCGTGTTGTGGTCTAAATCATGTTGTGTCTAAATCGTGTTTTGTCACAAATCATGTTCTGCACAAATCATGTTCTGACAACATCATGTGCTGTCTAAATCATGCTCTCTATAAATCATAACTTTGGTTAAATCAAAAGGACAATTGTTGAATTAAGTTCAATTAAGAGAGTGTTCAATTAGGGTTCGCCTCAGCACCACGGCTAGAGCCGCTAGAGTCGCTTAAGAGTTCGTTCTTGATGTATATATATATCACTCATGTTACATCAGAAATGACTTGTTGAAATTGAATATGCTAGGTGCTTTTTTATTTCTTATACTTTACCACTGCACCACGCAAAGAGATTTCTGGAGCTACTCTAGTTTCGGTTTTAGATTTGTAATTCTTTTTAAACACTACGTGATAATTTTTAGATATTAGGTATTTGAAGAGCGAGTTCAATTCTTATTGATAGTTAGCATGAGCCAAAACAAGTATCCTGTTCTGTTTTCAAAATTTGCTGATTTCACTCAAGGTGAAGCGCGCTGTAACTTCTTTCTCGGTGCTCCATCAATGTTTTCAACATGAATCATTACTGATTCATGCAACACGTGTTTATCTCACAGTTTTTCACTTTCAACCTTGCATTGTTCACATCATTATTTTTCAACTCAAATCATCATTTATGTATTAATTTCAGATATAACCTTGCGTGGTTTGAGCACCTACCAATCGTGGCCTGCAACGACATCAGATTTTCACTTTCAACCTTGCATTGTTTACGTCAATATTTTTAACTCAAATCATCACTTATGTATTAATTTCAGATATAACCTTGCGTGGTTTGAGCACCTACCAATCGTGGCCAGCAACGACATCAGATTTTAACTTTCAACCTTGCATTGTTCACATCATTATTTGTCAACTTAAATCATCACTTATGTATTAATTTCAGGTATAAGCTTGCATGGTTTGAGCACCTGACCATCGTGGCCAGCAACGACATCAACGAAGAGACCATCATCAGCCTCAACGAACAGGGCCATCAGATCAACTCGTTTGGCATCGGCACCCACCTCGGTGAGGGCCACCTTACACTCAGAGAAATTTGTGCAAATACAGATTTTTTTTGCCCCCGCGTGGGTCAGCTATTCCAGTTTGTTCTGGCAAATGGGACAATGATTGCTGTGTCGGCTCCCTGCTTGTACTATAAGTGAGGAATTGCGTTGCTATTTTGGCAGTGTTAGTACCCATTGATTTCTCAAAGTGTGTCATGCCGACACCTTATATAGTTCTGGCATTGAACTTGCAACCTCCTTCCCATGTCATCCACTTTTCCATGTCACCGCCCCTCGTCCACGTATCAACATAGTGATGAAATATGTTGATGCTGCAGTGACCTGCCATCAGCATTATCAACATAGTGATGAAATATGTATGTCACATTGCAGTGACATACATGTCATCAGCATTTTCAACATGACGATAAAATATGTTGACGTTACAGTGACCTGCCATCAGCATTATGAACATTGTGATGAAATATGTTGACGTTGCAGTGACGTGCCAGCGTCAGCCTGCACTAGGGTGCGTGTTCAAGTTGGTGCAGGTCAACGGGCAGGCTAAGATCAAACTCTCGCAGGACGTGGAGAAGGTCACGTGTCCTGGCGAGAAGAGGATCTATAGGCTCTACGGGGACGATGGTGAGCCTTCAGTCTTATTGTCCTCACTAAATAGTTATTGTTGTCACTAAATAGTTATTGTTGTCACTAATTTGTTATTGTTGTCACTAATTTGTTATTGTTGTCACTAATTTGTTATTGTTGTCACTAATTTTTTATTGTCGTCACTAATTTGTTATTGTTGTCACAAATTTGTTATGGTCGTCACAAATTTGTTATGGTCGTCACTAATTTGTTATTGTTTTCATTAATTTGTTATTGTTGTTTCTAATTTGTTATTACTATCACTAATTGGTTATTCTTGTAACTAATTTGTATAAATTTGCTTTACGTCAATTTATATTTCAGAATACAAGTTCTTCAAACTGTTGCTATCAAAAGTCTGCGACATTTTCTTCACCTGTAATTTTATCGTCTAATTTGTATTCTCGTTGACGCATATTCTCAGGACTCCTGTCGTATTGTTTCAATCATAACACTAGTAAACAAGTTGAAATGTCCGTGTGTGATGTCACTTGCACACCGCCATCTCATCACATTCATATAACATATTAAAATATTTTTATCTCGTGTATATATGTGTAATTTAAGCCTGAATGTAGACACGAAAAAATAAACTAAGAAATTAAAGCTAGAAAGGAACAGTCTAGAGTCGCCGTGTACATGTAGCAGATAGCTCCCACTTTATATGCTGACAAAAAACCAAAATAACACTAGATTGTTTTACTATTACAACGTTAGATACCCCGCAAGTAGATTCGAAAGTGATTAAAAAATTCTACGTAGAAGAAAAAATCTGTATAGTTTAATTGTGCATTGATGATACTCGTATTTATGCAAAGCCAATTAAATTGTTCCTACCTATTTTTGTATATGTATAGTATATGTGTAGATACGATAAACATGATATATCGAAGTAAGATACGACATAGACAAAGGAATAATACGTGTTGCCATGCGCAGGGCGGGCTCTGATCGACCTCATGCAGCTGGCGGACGAGCAGCCGCCGCGGCCCGGAGAGCGCGTGTTGTGCCGACACCCCTTCCAGGAGAGCAAGCGCGCCTACGTCAGTCCCGCCACCCTGCAGTGTCTGCAGAAGGCGAGTGTCAGGATTATATGCTGCCTCGTGATATATATATGCTGGGGAAAAAAGAGACGGGAATTGGGAGGGAAAATAACCATGATGGCCGCTGCCTTCAGAGGGCTTTTCCTTCAGACGGCGACGCAGTCCTTTAGGAAACTTAAATTAAATTAAATCAATTAATACCATTTGTACGCGCAGGTTTACTGGCAAGACGGGGAAGTGCAGCAGCAGATGCCGACGCTGGAGGAGGTGAAGGAGAAGGTGAAGACGGGCTTAGCTTCGCTCAGGCAGGACCACAAGCGCAACCTCAACCCCACGCCATATAAGGTCCGTTTCTGCTTGTAGATGTTTTGTACTCTCATATAAATGAATGTAAATGTCAGTTGTGATTGTGATTGTTTATGCATTTAGAAATTATACAAGAAATCGTTTGCATTCAATTTATTTAATCGTTCAACTTATTCTTTTGAGGTTGCTCGTTTTTTTTTTTTCAATTTAACGTCGAATTTTTGTCTAAACTGTTATATATTTGTATCGGTCATAATTGTTTGTTGAGTAATACTCATCTTATCCTTTAGTTTCAACATTCTACTATCGTTCTTTCCTCATTAAAAGCCCTGAATAGCCTTACATTTTTTAACTATCAACCATTTTGGAAGCCACCTATTTGATTATTCATAAAATCAGAAATATTCTTTTTGAAAACTTGTGAATTTTCAAAATTCTGAAAAGGTACAATTCTTAAAAGTAGGTGGTTGTATTCCATGAGACAACTTGACGTGAATGTCTAAATTTTTATTGACGTATTTACCGATTATGGGTCGTATTTCAAGGTAGTTTATTTTTTGATAACTCATTATTTTTTGGTTTTAATAACCAAGTTGCGTATAAGAATCGCTTTCCTGAATCGCTGATGTATTGGGAGCTGTTTAACTTCGCTATTTTTTTATTCTCTTAGATTGTACTAATTGCCTTATATTTCGTAACACAATCTCCTTAGCTTAGATACTTTTTCCATCCAGCAAATATTGTGTCAAGAATTCCTACTTCTCTTTGCTTCTAGAATCGTACAAATTATCTTCTGGTGATTGAAAGTGACGCGATGAATTTTACGTGTTGCTAACTTTTACCATTTTTTTTTTATTTTAGAAGCAAGCTTCAGCGATATGAAGACTATGCTTGTTAGGCTACAAAGAAATTAAAGAAAACGGCTTTCTATTAAAATTTAACTAAGTAGTACCTAGTTAAATTTTTAAAAATGAAATGACGGTAATACACTTATTGAATATTGTTATCCTTAGAGATGAACTTCCGTAACTTTCTAAACTCACTTTGATACAAAACAGTCGAGGATTGGATGCTGGTGGCATCATTGTGAACACTCAGATAATTGATAGAGTCATTGTCCAAAAATCCATTTAAACTTCTTAGTCTCAGCAGCATAAGGGAACGGACAAAACACATTTCCATATCAAACTGTCCTCCCAAACTGCGTCAAAATGACCCGCATGATAGCAAACGAGTGACAACATCCATCGATTTTTAGCGGACAATGAATCTGTGATGTCTTCTAAGCAAGTTTTAAAACTGAATAATACTGTTATGGTAAGATTTAAAAAAATATGAATAATACAATACAAATTAAAGACATTCCAGTGTAATACTTACGCAGGTCTGACACGCGTATTATCCTCTTACCAGGCAGGGGGCACCGCGCCCCATACGCGTTGTAGAAAAGCCTTGGTAAGATATTATCTTTGCGCCAGTAAACGTGGGACTAAAATATACTGCACTTCCCACTTGCTGCTTCTGAGTTACTGGGTCGTTGTTGCGAAACTTCCATTGCATGCTTTATTAGGTCTAATTAATGAAGAATATATTGTTGAAGTACACTTTGGCATAATATTCTTATAAACAAGTTTTAAAACTTAGAATAATGCTGTTATGATAAGATTTAAAGGGATTGTTTTGGTAAGATTTAAAAAAAAAATATGAATGATGCAATACAAATTAAATGTTGGAAGCTTCATTAAAAGCAGTACCCTTGATTATAGTATCATAAATATTCTACTCTGACGCGACGTGCAACAGAAATTACGGTAAAGATCCTTTTATTATAATTTTTGAGTTCATAGCTACGCTTAATTCTCTTGATCTTTTTAAACCAACGTAGTTTTCTTGGAATCTGGTATTGAATCTATTCTAATTGTAACTTTGCTTTAGTAGAATTAAATCGATCATATTTAACATCTAATTATTTATAAATATGCTTGCCAGGTAACATGGCTTCTAGAGACTTACGCACCTATTGTTAATATCAACACCATTCATTACGTAAACATGTGTATGAAATTGATTCAAGTTAACATGCAGCTTCGCCTTCAGGTATTTCATCACAAGATGTAATTAAAGCCATAATAATTGATTTTTATTCTTGCATATCTTATCATCATTTATTCAGCATAATACAACAATATCCACGTGTAACTTTTAAAGTATTTAATTTCACCTAGTTACCAGATTTCCATGGACAACTAGGGTTTTGCTTATTTTTCCGTTGAGGGCAACTGGGTTTAAGTTGAGAACATTTATTTATGTGTAACTCATGATACGGAGTCAATGAGCTGCAAGTTGGGTTGAGTTGGGTTTAACCCACTTGGGTTAAGTTGTGTTAAGTTGTTGCGTAGGCTACACACTGTTAGAAAAATTACCGTTAACGGTATTACCGGCGTTTCAGTGGCCGGTCGGCACGTGAAAAGAAACACCGTTTCGTGGGGAAAATTCTAATTTAACACTAGAAACCCGTAAAACAGCTGATAAAAACGGCGAAACAGTTTATTTTCACGGGGCGACCGGCCACTAGAACACCAATGGGACCGTTTTTTCTAACATTACAGCTAGTTGTGTCAACTTGTTGTCGCGTTTCAAATGCTAATGTGTTGGCTCCCGCACCCTGGCTGTTGGGAACTTTCATTAACTTCTTGATAATGACCTGTTCTTAAATTGAAGCCAGTTTGTGACGATGCTTCAGGCGATTTATAATGGGAAAAATTCTTCAACCTGTACTTTCTACACGTCCATCCACGAGCTTTGGTTGGTTTTAAGCTAACTGGCACTGAATGGTGAAACTCATGCACCGTTGTTGCAGTCCAAGGGGCCATTCTATCAAAGCTCGAATTACGCGGCCTAAGTACACGCAACTCTTCTGTGATTGGTGGGTTTAACTTGAAAAGCCGTCAGTGATTGGCTGACGGAGATCTGAACTTGAAACTATTTTTGATAACATGTTCCTATGTTATCTATAACATGTTCCTATAACTATTTTTGATAACATGTATTATGCAACACTAAAGACATGTTCCTCGCAACAGGTTGGGGTGAGCGATAACTTGTACACCTTTATGCACGAGCTGTGGCTGCAGAGTGCACCCATCGGCGAGCTTTTCTGAGCCAGGGACGCCGGCTCCTCATAATCAACATGGCAGCCCGGCTCTTCATAACCAACATGGCAGACCGGCTCTTCATAATCGACATGGCAGACCGGCTCTTCATAATAAACATGGCAGATTGGCTCTTCATAATCGACATGGCAGCCCGGCTCTTCATAATCAACATGGCAGCCCGGCTCTTCATAATCAACATGGCAGATTTTTGATAACATATTCCTATGTTATCTGTAACATGTTCCTATAACTATTTTTGATAACATATTCCTATGTTATCTATAACATGTTCCTATAACTGTTTTTGATAACATGTATTATGCAAGCACTAACGACATGTTCCTCGCAACAGGTCGGGGTGAGCGATAACCTGTACACCTTCATGCACGAGCTGTGGCTGCAGAGTGCACCCATCGGCGAGCTTTTCTGAGCCAGGGACGCCGGCTCCTCATAATCAACATGGCAGACCGGCTCCTCATAATCAACATGGCAGCCCAGCTCTTCATAATCAACATGGCAGCCCGGCTCTTCATAATCAACATGGCAGACCGGCTCTTCATAATCAACATGGCAGACCGGCTCTTCATAATCAACATGGCAGCCCGGCTCTTCATAACCAACATGACATCACCTCACACTCCGCATGGCTGATATCGCGTGGTCACGATGTTTTCCCATGTGATGATAATAATCATAATACTAGAAATTTTCGAAAATAATCAAAATCGAAATTTGCTATTTTTGATGACGTGCTACTACTTTGGAATACAATCTTGCCTCGTTGGACAAGCTCTGCATTACATTCCTCGTATCCTGTATTTGTCAAATTCTTCATATTAATTTTTTTTTGTTTTACTCAGGTTACTTATATTGCTACTATACTTTATTCTTTGTATTCCTTATTTCATGCACTCCTTCTATTATGTTCCTTGTTCTCGTTCATCCAGGACCAATATTTAAGTGAAAGAGTTATACTCATTAGTTGAAAATAGTCAGTTCATCATTAGTTATCCCGTTATCATTTGTTGATGATGCATGTCATCTCTAATTTTCTGATGATACGCGGCCAGTCGTGAATCTTTTTGAACGAATTCTATTTCGTTCTTTTGAATGAATTTCTATATTTCTGGCCAGTTCTTTAATCGTTTCATTGGAGGACGGCGAGTTAAGTGCAGTGGCAGCTTGTGCCTCATTAACGGTAGTAGAAACATTCCAGAGCCTTCGTACTCCCCATTCTGGAGTACTGCTGCCAGCTTTGGGCGCCACTTTTAGCGGGTGCGGCCATTCTTACTTGAACTGTGGCTGTCAAGAGGGGAAGCATCGACGTTCATCCTGGAATGGGGGCTAATATTTTTGTAGACTTATTATTACATTCATGTTTGGAAATTGTCCTGAGACGATCATAATGGAATGGGGGCTAATATTTTTGTAGACTTGTTATTACATTCATGTTTGGAAATTGTCCTGAGACGACCGAAGCTCATCGAGATTAGTAGAAAAAGTTTTTTCTCTCTTTGCATTTTAAAACATATCACATAATTAGTAATTCAGTTACTTAAATTTATTTTCTGCAGGTCTTTGTTGTTCGTTTTCTATTTAAGGTGCTTGATTTCTACGCAAGTAGATATAATACGTACCTATTATTAATAAATTGATTTCCTCGTAATATTATCAGGCATGCAACATATTGTTTGCCACAAGAAACTAAGAAAATAGTATTTTATTTTATGTGCTTAAAAACCATCTAATGATCAAAACTGCTTCAAGCACATCCTTTAAAGGACCATAAGACGAATTATCACATTTTAATTTTGATAAACAATGATGCATGTCTTTGGGACTGCGTGTGTGAGTGTAGTGAAGCGTTTTTTTTTTTCGGTTATAAATACGTGCATTAAAACACCATCTCTGTAGCATGGGTGTGTAGTGAAGTGCTAGTGCAGTTCTAAATAATTACATTAGGTTACAGTAACTGCGGTAAATTGCCTTCTAAAGACCATACTTGAATTTTTGTGCAATTGTTAAAGAGTGACGCAATTGAGTTAGTAATTTTAGTTATGACATGTATACACCAATATTAAAAAATTTAACGCTTTTGCGTAATAAATTTAATAACATAGGAAAGTTTGGGTCATATTTTCATAAAACTTGTGTTTTTAATGCCTGAATCTCTCGTAGAAATAATATTGTATTTCGTCTTGAACGTAGTTCTTCTAGAAGAATAGGCCACTTTCAGATGACGTCATAGACGTTAGATACTAGTTAATGGATTAATTTAGTGTCGGCGCATCAGTTGTTAACGATTATTAACGTCATTCGCTGATGACAAATAATAGCACTTCGTCGTGTGCATTATGCAAATTATATAATTATTGATTGAGTATATATCACTGATTTTTTTAGATTTTAAACCCGTTGAAAATGTGCTGTTCGTGTTAGGTCACTCAAGATATAGAAAATTCATTAGTGCCTAGAAAAAGTGTTGGCAGTTGAACTCACCGTATTGGCAGCTGACGTTTACCATTGTAGCATTTTATGACATGTAGTTTGTGTAAACATTTGCTTCTTTCAAAACGCCAATAACCTCGAAAATTTTCAACTAATTAATGTGACGAGTTCAATTTTGATCATTAGGGTCATAGTTTGAATGAAAGCCCTTCACTCGTCAATGATGAATTATTCAACGCAAGCTGTTCCAGTAGTAGGTGTGAATTATAGAAATAATAAGAAATCACAATTTTTTTATATCACTAGTCATTAATCATATTTTGAAAAAGAATAATTTATTATGCACATGTTCTCGCCAAGGCAAAAATTTCTCTAGCATTCAGCAATTTATATTTTTATTAGTTCCTTCAAGCATATTTCATTGAAGACCAGAGAATTTGTTTTATCGACAATTTTCTTATTATTTTTTTATCAACATGCTCTGCCAACCTATACTAATCTGTATTAGTTTATACATATCTATGATTTTTGAGATACTGCCATTTTCTTTTCTTATTGTAATTTGTTATTCGTGTTTGTTGTATAATGTTTTCTTATAAAGCGGGAAAAGAATAGCTCATTGTGGCGCTCATTCCTTTATAGGCGCTTGCTCTTTATTCGTAGTCTTGAATCGAATTTGTGCTTTAGTCGCTCACGCAATCGGACAGTTAATGGTATTTATTATAACTGGAAAGTGCTTTATTGATTGTTCAAGTTAAGAATTGAAACTTATAGTTACTCGCATAAGAACAGAAAGTTTGTGTAATAGACGGTATTGCAATCCAACTTGGCGATTTTTCCAAATGCAAGCCAGGATTGATGTTTTTTTTTTAAATGTTATCCGAAACTAATATTTGCTGCTCACTATACGAACAAAAAGTATCCATACTAATGACAAAAAAAAAGCTTTTATTTCGCCTATTTGTTATTTTTTCGGGCAGATTTATGCAGAGTGGAATTCAATGAGTAGCGGATCTATTACTCTAGCCACTTGAAGTTCAATCTTGGATTTTAGACCCAATCTTACTCTAGTCTGATATATTTTTCTCATAATCAAAATTATTATCTAGCCTTTTGCTTACATAGAAGTAAATTTTGTGCATGTGTCAAGTTTGGCAGTGGGCGTTCACTGTAATTTAACGGAGCCCCATTTTTTATTTTATTTGTTTTAATATGCGATAAATATATTGATTGCTATGTGTTGTTATTGTTAGTTAAACGTTTCTAGTAAGAAGGGAAATCGATAGAATTGTTTCAGGTTCTTATTAAATCAGTATTCTCAAATATGCAATTTTTTGCTTTTTTGCATACCGTGTTCTGACGTGGTCAATTAAAGCCATCTATTTTCTTCTTTAATTCGCTTAATTAACTTCTAATTTGACACTATTTTCATCAAAAAGGTTGACTCTTTATCCCACTAGCATATTTTGTATAGATTCGACGAAAGTGACTAGCCAGTTGATTATTCTTCTTGATTTTTTTTCTCTAATATCGATTTATTAATCAGCAACAAGCGACGGAAGGCCTCTCATTAACCACTCTTTGTAAGGGAGCGCAGCCGTGCACCAACAAGCCCTGAATCCAACGGATGGATAGCTAGAGGTCAGCATAGCCCAAGTCCAGAGTGCGATTCATATACCTTCCCGAGCGTAACGCACAGGGCATCTTCGGCTTCGACACAGAGCAAAGCCCACCACAACAGCGCCGTTCAGTCATAGGCACTGGTTCACAGCGCCGGAGCACAGCGCTGTGAAGCAGTGGCTGTGTTGTGCAATGCAGATTTACTGTTAGCCGGAGTTACCCACAGCTCATTGATCTGAGGCTATGTGTAGATATTGCATGCTGATGGTTGGCGTTGGGCCCAGGGCCTGTTTACGAGTCAATTTTGTTACCCACGGCTGCGCTCCTAATCGAACGCCTTGGATCTCTCCAGACCTCCATCAATCAGCAGTGAACCACTCGGCTTTGTCCTCCTTCGGTCTTGCATAGAACCTGCCGTGCACCACCAGGCCGCGGATCGAATCTGACTTCCGGGCATCGTTAAATTACGTAATTTTGCGTTCACCGCATCTGAGGTTAGGCTTCAGGTAGCATAGTTCTGTTCCAAAATGTATCGTCCTTCGACAAGTGGCCGTTCGACCGAGGGCTGGTTCGACGCACGGCCAAGATACGGACGGCTTGAAGTGATGAAGGCTACAATCCGGAAGGCAGGAATCATGATGCTCCATTATATCCAGGGCAGTGGTGGTCTTCGGCAGGCGACCCGCAAGGTAAACAAAGCATTAAACCGTTTGTTAGATTAATAGAACAGTTGAACAATTGTTGAACTAATGCAAGGTTTACATCTAGCGTGGAAAAATGTAGCACTTGCCACGGGAAAAAAATAGTGTCGGATTTACTCCTACATGAAAACGATTACGGTTCGTATGCTGGCCGCCTGGGGGTGGTAGTGAAATTCAACAACTTTTGTGGTGGCTCACCGAACAACGATGCTCGTCATGGTTGAACTAAATAAGGTTCACCCACTAGGATTTCCGCCATTCAGTTCAGCTTTCTTGTAAGTCACTGAGATCGAGAAACCTAAACAATCCCGTCTTTCCCATGACGGATTGCTTGACTGGTTTGAGCGCATTTCGGTGATTGCTTAATGTTCGTGACGTCACTGAGAGATGTCCGTGACGTCACAGGCGAATAACACTACATCCGCAAAAATGAGCTCCTCATAAGTCAACCTTATTCATCACGTCTCGGACATAGTTCAATCATGAATTTACGGCCGGTCTCGCGGCCTCACTCCAAATTCCGTGAGCATAGAATATCTCCCAAAGTACTGCACGTAGCTCGATGAAAATTGGTACACACAATCATTATAGCCTAATTGTGATGTTTAGACGTCTCGGACAAATAACCGATCGGTTAAGAAATTGTTTTAGTTGACTCTCAATGAAGGAAGATATAAAATGATCGAATATTAGGCTGAGCTTCCTCGTTTGTACATTTACTTCGTTTATCTCTGCTTTAGGACCTTACCGTTAAAAAGAAATAACCTGCAGAATAGCCTGCAACTCTATTTCTGTTTACTCTGAGATCATTTCACTTTTAAAGTAATTTAAATGTCCATACTAAATGATTAAACAAAGGAATCATTTCAGCGTGCAAAACACAATTTTATCGTAGTGATTCGCCTTATATACCTATTATACACCTGTTATGCGCTCGAAATTTTCACACCACGCTGAGACATACCGAATACAACTTGTCGGCGACGTGGAATTGAAGGTAAATATGTCAACACGACTGATCTTGCGACTTCAAGCGATAAATCCTAAGTATTTCGTTGTGTTTTGCTATTGCTTGCATTTTTTTTTTCTTGAAACTTGGCAGTCCGAATACTTCGGAAAGCGACCCTTGTTTACGATCAAAACATGTCATAAAATTGTCTGTTATAGTTGTCTTAACTCACCATTTTTAAAACTCATACTTTTCGGTTTGAATTAATGAGTACGAGTGTACGACCACGAGCCTGAGAGGCTGAGCCCAGGCCAGAGGCAAGACAAAATTGAAAGGATCTCATTTACTAAGAAGGAGCTGATCCTGAGCTGCCAAGTGCAAGTCAGATTTGTGACTGGGCTTCATGTTGGCAACTTTGCATAAAAGACTAAAAGTTTAATGAAAATGAAACTGCTAGATTATGTAGAAATCGCAGACTCTCAGTCCAATTTAAGAGAAATTAGTTCTATCTTGAAATTTTTAAAACCCAAACTCTGAAAGTGGAAAATTGGGCTGATTGCTTCCAGAAGCAAAGCAAGAATGGGATAAAAACATCTTTGATTCCAGAGAATTTTTTATTTCACCTACTAGGCCTATTCTTATGAGTCCATAGTGGCAAACCAGACACCAGTGATTG